CTTGGGACGTATAAAAGTTAGTATTGCTGAACTTGTGTATTGATTGTCTCGTGCACTTAACCTTCCTGCTAACCTATTCGTTAAACCGACACGAAGAAATAACTTGGATCATGTGAGAACATAACAGAAGTGCCTTGTTCCATTTGCTGCCGCTTTTGACCTCTGCGCCATGGCTGAGGGCGCGTCAGCCTTGCCGCACCATGGCAGCTGACACGTCAGCCTTGCCGCGCCATGGCAGCTGGCGCGTTAGTGCCGCGCCCATATCCGCGGCGCGGCAGCTCCGGCCACGTTAGTATTCAGCGGCCTTGGTCGCTGCCACGTCGCCGCTCCTACCGCGCCCCCATGCATGGCGCGGCAGCGTGATTTCACCGCGCCATGAAAACAAGCGCGTCAAAAAATGTTAGTTTTGAAGAAAAAAAGTGTCAGATTTAAAAATAGTTTAGAAAATATGTTAAAAATAAAATAAAAATCGAAATTGAAGTCTCTGGCATTCCAGCACACCTTTGCAACAGCAACACAATCAACCAAATTATGCCAGATTCCTTTCAGATCAAACACATTCAGTTTGCACACTACCCATGCTACGTCGAAGGGCACACAACAAACATCTCAGCAATTCCAAACACTGCAACTATAGCCGTGAAAAAAAAACACAGCATGGAAAGTTTCTGAGCGTGTGGCCAATATGGAACAAGTTCATGGAAATGTTTCCTTTCAACGACGCAGACCCTGAAGATCACCACCCTCCAGCAGCACCGAATCAAGGTACCGATCCACCAAAATCCTCTAATTTTTTACTGCAAACCGCACACACAACGCACCCACACAAATATGTATCTTATAAATAACAAGTTCGCTTGCAGGAAGCCCCTATAGACTCAGATGCTGCGCGGGAAGGCTACATACAATATGTGGAAGGTAAGTAACAACTGCAAGCACACATGAGGAACAAATAAAAGAACAGAAAAATATATTGGTCCATAAATAACGGCCTCTTCATTGCTAACAGAACGAGAAGGCCCTTCTGCTTTCCGCCCACGAGGTGAGTCATACCACAAACACAGACAAATATCAGCTATTCTTAGAGCTGCATAATCGTTCCTGCCTAATTCTACAGGTCCCTCAAAGGGCATCAGTGAAAACACAGGTAAGAACCGATATCTGCCATAAGTTTTGCGTAACGTTTTATAGCCAAACATTTGTAAAATCCCTCGCTTTTTATCAATGGCGCAGAATCCTCCAGCTGCAACAGCGCCGGCTCACACGCACATCTCTCGGATCGCGAACCAAGACGTTAGAACAGTGTCTTACACGGCGCTGACTCCACCAACCCAGCAAAGCACCATGTACAATATACGCCATCCCATCTGAACAATCTATGTAGTGTTTATTATTCAGTAGCATATGTAACCATAAAGAACATATGTAATATGTCCCGTATTCAGCAGCACAATATCGCAATCACGAATAAGTGCTATGCTCATCAATACTGCCTTAGTTACCTCATGATTATGTCCATACATATGTGCGCGGGGGCGCGACCGACACTTTTTCTTTAGTAAAAGGCGAAAGAATAGTTCGCTTTGTGCTCACCACGCAGCTCACCTGCTGTATATAATATGTTGGATGGTTGGCTAATCTGCGTATAATATGTTGGATGGTTGGCTAATCTCTTCTAGACTGACCGGTGTGGGACTAAACGTCATTCCCCGGCCCCCATGGGCCGCATGGGGCTTCTAATGGAACTACTGGGCCGGCCTTGCAGTTTTAGGCCGACCTTGCAGTTTTAGGCCGATAAGATTGTGCGTACATTCCCGCGTGGGCCATATGTGAGACTTCTAAAGGCACTACTAGGCCGGTCATGTAGTTTTAGCCCAATATAAAATTAACGTGCACATGTAAAACGGGTGGGTGGTATATTCTCGCTTAAATCTGCTTACATAATGCTTGTTCATGATAGGAATCAAATACAAGATTGGCTCGAGCTGGGACACTGAAGGAGCTAAAAGGAGATGGAAATTATTCTAGAAGGTTAAGGTACCATCAAAATTCATATTTTTGCTTGGACATAATTCTTTAACAACCGGTGAAGTTCTTAAAGAAAGGTCAACCTGCGAACGAAGTGGGTGCAAATTATTTGGTGCTATTATCAACTCGTGGCGCCATGCTCTTTTCTATTGTACAATGTCAAGATGTGTTTGGGCTCTAGTAGATGAGGATCTCACAGAACATATTGTTACAACTGAAATTATTGATAATCCAAAGACATGGCTGTGTTTTTATGCAGGTGCAAAAGAACTTCAAAAACTTCTAATCATATGTTGGGCAATCTGGGCGGGCGGAGAAAGGTATTACACGAGGATATATTCCAAAGCCCATTATCAATATTCAAAATATCGGCGGAGAAAGGCATTACACGAGGATATATTCCAAAGCCCATTATCAATATTCGGCTTTATTACAAAATATCTTGATGATCTCAAACTGACTGGATTGATTGACGACAATGAAACAACCAAGTCAACAAGAAACAAGCAACCAGCTTCCAAATGGATACCTCCTCCTGAAGCTTTCTTGAAGTTTAATGTTGATGGTGCGGCGCGATCTGGAGATAAGGGGACTGTTGGTGTGGTGTGTTGGGATAATGTAGGGAATTATGTTGCTGCAAGTGCTATGGTCATTGATGGTTTAACTGATCCGTCATATTTGGAAGCTCTGGCTTGCAATGAAGCAACTTCCTTGGCCATGGACATAGGTGTGCGCAAGTGTGTAATAGCTTCAGATTGCTTGGAAGTGATTACAAATCTTCAGAAGCAAAGTTTGTGTGCTTATTCCTCAGTCTTGAAGGAAATTAAAGCTAGGAGCACTTTGTTTCAGGAAGTAGTTTTAAGCACAAAGGTAGAGAATCAAATTGTGAGGCCCATGCTCTTGCTATAAGTGTTTGTGAACTGGCACCAGGGAGAATATGTATGGCTCCTTGGGCGTCCAGAAATTTTGCATGTACCTCAAAACATTATGAATTAATAAAAGTCTACCTTCCTCTCAAAAAAAATTTAAAATGGGTGGGTGCAGACCGCGGACTAAAGTTTTTTTAGGGGCGTTGGCTAGCGCTCGGACGCCCAAGGAGCCCGCCCTCGTCCGTCTTCGCCCCGACCCTGTCCGCCTTCGTCCCGCCCCACGCGCGCACTTCGCCCTATCTTTGCGCCCATCGGTCGCCCCTGACCCCCCCTCTCTCTCTCTCTCTCTCTCTCTCTCCACGTAGGCGACACTCAGGAGGCAGGATGAGCTGCTGAGAAAGAGCACGCCCCGACCGCAGCACTAACATCCGTCGGCCCCTAGCGCCCCCAGTTCCCTCGCCCCCGGCCAAGCGCCCCCAGTTCCCTCGCCCCCGGCCGAACAACATGAAACATTGCAACATCAAAAACACTTGAATGCAACAAATAGATGAAACATGCACTTGCAACATGTGTGTGAAACACATGAAACATCCAAAATTGCCACTTGCAACATGAAACCACTTGTTGCAACATAAGATTGAAACAGCAGAAACATTTAGAACATACTGTTGCAACATATGTGTGAAACATATGCAACATCCAGATAAAAAATGATTGCAACATACGTCTGGAAATAGATGAAATATTTTGAACAAACGCTTGCAACATGCTTTTGAAACACTTGCAACATATGCAACATGTGTAACATCCCCCGATCTACTTATGCAACATCAAGATGAAACAATTGCAACATACATCCGAAACGTCTGAAACACTTAAAACATACATATGCAACACATGGGAGGGGAAGGCCGGGGCAGCAACCGGGAAATCGGGCTTCGAAAAACACCATGGCAAGCCCCGCAGATCTGCCAGCCGACAACCGGAACATGCCCGGTGACTACGCGAGTCACGGGGCAGGCGCACGCAACTGAGCAGGAGTGGCAGTCGGGTACCTCTGCGGAGTTACCCGGGACCTCGCGAAGCACAACCTTGTCGAGGTCATTGACACCCTTGCAGTGCCTGACGAGCGCCACCTCCTGCTTCTCGCCCTCCGGTGGCAACGACGCCGAGGCCGACATGTTGTCCTTCCGCCGGACCAAGCCGCAGCGAGCACCACACGCCGAGGCCGAGCGGAGCGGAGCGGAGCAGTGGAGCTAGAGGGAGGGAGGGAGAGGAAGCAGAAGTGGAGAGAGACCAGCCGGCGGGCAGATGGGCTGGCTCCAAGTCGATTTGGGAAATTTCCGGATATCGCACCTGTGCATGCGTGTTGGTTTTTGAGAGAGCGGATAAGGATAAGCCGCATCCGAAAGGGACGGATACCCGTGGGCCAGCATTATCGTTTTTTTTAAGCAAAAACCGTGGGGAAAAATCCCCCGGCAGCAACGAACTGCATTAAAACTCACAACCCAAACCGGCTATGTTTTCAAAAGAAAAACAACCCAAAACGGCTACAGAAGGACAGGCCAACCAGAAGGTGACCGCACCACAAAACTCACACAAAGAAAGAAGAAGAAAACAAGAGAGAAAAAGAAAAAGGCTAAAGAACTAACAAACTAAAGAACTAAACTAGGCTAAAAAGGAAACAAAAATTACAGGTCGTTGAGCCAAGACTGAATGGAGGAAAGAAGAGAAGGCTTGATCCTATGCAAGCGAATGGAGACTTCACGCTTGAAACCAGCCTTCCAGGAACCCAGACTGTAAGGAATTAGCAAAGCGTAAATGAAGAATTATTTAATCAGCAACATAACCCCATAGGTTTGCCATGCCAATTCTTACAATAGAATAAGAGCAAACAGTCAAAATTAGCAATTTTTTATTGCAACAAATTATCCAGCAAAAGCTGTAAACACACAGAAAAGATTCAGATTTGGACACTACAACAATTCAATATAGTCCAGGCAGTCACATTGACTTCCAAAAAAAGTTGAGCTAAGAATACCAGCTTATAGGGACATCAGTGGAAAGCAGGCAACAAAACCTTGTGTCGTACAGAAACCTATCTTATCTACCATCTCTGTGACTTCTCTCCTTGTAGGACCTATCATCAGACTGCTGGTTCTTCACATGGTGTCCTCCATCTTCTCTTCTATGTCTACTATCTGGGCTCCTTTTCCTGTGGTCATCTTCATCTCTCCGGTGGCGATTGCTCTTCTCGTAGCCGTCATCTCTATGGCGCCACTCGGCATCAGATTTATCCCTTTGTCTGTAGCCTTCCTCTTCCTCCCCACTTCTGCTTCTATTAGAGTGCTTGCTATAATCACGATCATCATATCTACCAGAGCTTCGATCACCGGATCTACTGTAACTGTGGTAGTCATCATGTTTCCAACTCCCTCGGTTCCTATCATCTTTCCCATGCCTGCTTCCTTTCTCATCACTGTGCGTTCTCTCATGGCTATTTCTATCATGATCACCACGAGGTGGCAACTCTGATTTTCGATCATCTATTCTTCGATTCTTTCTTCTGTGGCCATTTTCATGATCTCTCTTATCAGAATAATCAGCTTCATCTTCGTCAAAGACTAGATCATAGCTGCAAAATAAAGAGTGGAGTATCACAGTATGGAACAGCGTTCAATGTTTTTTGTGCAACAGAAGAAAGAACCAAAGAGGGTAGGGACTGACCTTCGACGGTGATTTCCACCACGCTGTGTGTTTTCATCTTTTAGAACATAATTTGGGCCTTTGTTTTTCTGCTCACCATCTTGATCGCAGTCTCTGGCTAGGTGATCAGGGGCGCCACACTTAAAACACCCATCTGCAGTGAGAAACAATGGTTCAATGTAAGACTAAAGATAACAAAACTTTCAATACAAATAAAATGGACAACCGGGTTATGGACAATATAGTTTCAGATCTTTTACCTTTCTTTGCATTTCTTTTGCTTTGTCTGAACTGACCCCACAGCTTCGAAACACTCTGACTAAAATCAACATGGATCCTTCGGTCATCAATCAGACAATTGTCCATCTACAAGCATAACACCGTGTAAATAATACTCTCTTCAGATTATTCATAATGGAACACCACATGAGAACCAATATGGCCGTTGTGTTAGATGCAAAACTCGGACTCTCCGCTGGGCAAAAAAGTTCACTAAGCAGTCTTTTAAGCTCTTTGTTTCATTTTCCACTCTCTTTTTTCAGTTCACAGTTCTTGCAGTTTTCATTTTAGTTTTTTTAGTTTCTTTTCCTTTTTTTCTTCTTCTATCAGGTTGCTTTAGCTTTGTTCAGTCTTTTTTTTTCTTGGTTTTTTGCACTGCTTGCATGGCTAACTAAAATCAATGGAACTATAAGGTCGACTCTACCCTATCCTTAAAAAATGTATAGTCATTGTTGGGCACATCCTAAGTAGGGCAGGACTCTATCATGGAAAAAAATAAACATGTAGCAAGGAGTAACCTATAAATTATGCATGAAAAATGCTATAGTACCACTGTAAATACACAGCCACATGGCAATCTGAGATACTGACCTTGAAATATGCACGCTCACAAGCCTCCTTTGTATCGAATTCTGACAGATCAAGATAAATTGTTAGCATGTCAAACTAGGCCACTCAGCTAAGAGCTAAGCATCATGAATCTAGGAGCATTCACAAATACTGTCAGCACATGAACTGAACCTAGCTAGATTGGTGAGAATCTGAGGTGTGGGTGTACACCCCCTACCACCAGGTTCAAGTCCTCTTTGGCTCAAATTTGGGTGTATATTTCTTATTTACATCAACACCTAGTTCCTCCTAGGTTAGTTGAGTTTTTTAAGTTATTATCATTGTCAGCACATAAATGGCTCCAGACTGTACCAAATGAAACTTTGAGGAAATACTGGGAGGTTTTCTACTTTTCAATAAAGTGCAAATCTTAGAATATGTTATTTAGGAAATAAAAAAGAGAGACAGAAAACAATACTTTAGTAGATGAGCAAGGAATTGTTTCTTTCCCTGTATACTACTCACTCATCTTTTAACCTCGTACAATAAGCAATCCCAGTTGCCCGTTCAAAGGATAACCAACTATCCTAAAGAGGCTAACACATACATGTGTAACACAGCTGACAAAATAGATCACAGTTGCCTCGGCCAGCTACTTAAGCCAATGCAACTGTGCAGTGAACAAACTGGAACTAGGTATCTAGCCAAATAGCAAAAGTACTTGTCAGCACAGTAAGAGTTTTCAAGGGACGAAACATACCAATAAAAGCATAGCATAAACTATCTCCAGTCTTGTAGTCACGAATTATTTCAGCACTGCAAGCAAAAGTTAAGAAATTGAAAGATGAGAATAAACAAGTAAATGCACACAATTAGTTATAAGAAAGGCACTCACGATGTCACAGTTCCAAAACGAGAAAAGATTGTGTATAAATCTTCATCCTGCAAAACAATTGAAGTTAATCAGCAAAAGATGTTCAAATTTTCAGGCCTAAAATGATCAGCAATGTAGGCACAGCAGTAGAAAACCAAACACTTGTATGAACAAAAGCTGAAGAAATGTATGAGTACATCTTAGGGCGTGTTTAGTACTTTAGTTCCCTGAATTTGGAAATTTGGGCTACTGTAGCACGTTCGTTTTTATTTGGCAAATAGTGTTCAATCATAGACTAATTAGGCTCAAAACGTTCGTCTCGCAATTTCCAACCAAACTATGCAATTAGTTTTTTTTTTCGTCTACATTTAATCCTCCATGCACGTATCGCAAGATTCGATGTGATAGATACTGTAGCACTTTTTGGATTTTGGGTAGCAACTAAACACGCGCTTAAAAACTCCAATGAAGTGGAGAAGTGGAAGGAAGGCAAGCAGCAAGCAATCAGGAACTAACACTAACCTGTGTTACTGGGTTGAGTTTACAAACAAATAAGACATTTTCTGGAGGTTTAATCTCAGCATCTGGAATATCTGCCAACTGCACAAAAAAGGTATTAACCATTCATAAAAAATGATATAAGTACTAATTAGAAATAAATAAGTTGCCAACTTTCATATGGAACCAGGACTTACACTCTCAAGTATTACTGCATTTGTGTGTGCCTCTTTAGAGCGGATCATCTCCTCAAGTTGTTCAGGGGCCACTGTTTGGTCCAAAGGAACCCAAGTATCCTCTAAACGCTCTTCTGCAACCTGTCAATTTGAAACAAAAAAAGGGGAAAATATGAGGAAATACTCATGTTGGTATGTTGCCAGATTACTATTGGATTCAAGATATGATCTCTTTTATAGGGTTTAAATATGCCCCAACCCAAGTAGCACAAGTTGGTATAGATAGAACACGGGGATGATTTCAATACTAAATGAAATGAATGCACACTCAATAACTACCATGCCCAAACTTTCAAATGAAATTAAGAGGTACACAGACAATAAAAGGAAATAGGTGAAAAAAACTGCAGTCTGCCTCGACAGTAATTTGGAATCAAAATAAAAACAGGTGCATGGACAAAGAAACAGAATTCTTGACATCTAATGGTTCTTAACGATTGCTAAACGCCTAAATTAGGAAAAGAAACCAAAAAGAGAATGAATGAACCATGGCCTGTGATTAAGAATGATGCATCTCGACTCTTCCTCTCTTATTACTGAAATGAACATGATTGGGATACTCAATTACCTCATCACGTGGCTTTCCTGTAGGAGAATTCTCAGGAATAAGTTCAGCAAGCTGAGGAGGATCATCGAAAGGATCATCCAAGACATAAGTATGCTTAATTCTGCAAATAATTAAATTGTATAAGGTCAGCAAACAGGAATTAAAATGACAAAGGAGACTAATGCTGGAGAAGAAGTGAAACATTCATTTAATGTTGCAACTAAGGCATTAATCAGAAATCCACCTTATGTCCTTGAATGGTCTTCCTTTATCATCAACATAAGCTTCATTTATTTTTGTCAGCGTATCCAAACCTTCGGCAATCATCCCAAACACCTATGGTCAACAGAACAAACACAGGAATTGTTCAAATAAAGGGATTATGTTCATAAGAGAAAAAATATATTGGTTAACAGAATCAAGTACTACTCACAGTGTGTTTATCATCAAGGTAATCCACGTCATCCCGCAAGGTAATGTAAAACTGAAAACATTAAAAAAACACATAAATAGAAGGCCAAAACAAGCAACAAAATACTGAAAAATGGAACATCCAATATTATCAATTAAGACGCTGGGGCAGGCATTGCACCTGCGAGGCATTGCAGTTTTCACCAGCACTGGCCATAGCAACAGTTCCAGTTTTTGAATGCCTTAACTCAGGGCGGATCTCATCATCAAAAAATCGAGCTTGATCACCATACAGAAATCTGAGGAAATAAGATATAGTTTTCAGGCATATATTTAACAATATGTAATAATAAGATACCTCAATAATAATAACTGTATACATATGAAAAAGAGCAAACATCTAAGAAAGGCTCTATCAAAACTATACGTGTATTGTATCCATTGAAGACACTAGTTATATCTAGATGCAGGATACCGCATTATATGGTTCAGAGATGAAACTTTGGAGACATTTCAAAAGTTCAAATCAAAAGAATCACTTACTTGTATACAGAATCACCACCGGTGCCAGTTCCAGTTGGATCGCCAGTTTGCGCCAAGAAATCCTTCTCCACCTTGTGGAACAGACACCCATTGTAGTACTTCATTCTGGTCGGTCAAAGAAGAGAAACAGAGAATAAGTAACCTAAATGATAATCTCAAATTCATGAGATGGTATTTTCCATTATTAAGTGATAACAAAAGAGCAGCCAGGCATAATCTTCGATTCTTCAAGCACTTCACCAATGGTGAAAATTCAAGATTCTGTGGAAGAAATTGAGTGCAGGAACCACAGTAGAAGCTAAATCCAGTTCCCATAATGCCATAAAAATTGATAAGAAGAAACCTAAGAAACAGAACACAATCCTTTGATGTCAACTAAGATCATTGCTGTGGCTCTATCACCTCTATAAAGGTTCAGTACTAAGCCTGCAACGCAATAATTTCGAAATTTCTGGTAGCATACCTACGAGCCTAGAAATCAGTAAGCAGCTAAATACATTTGGAATTAGGAATCCCACGAAACTAGATGTAAATTATTGCGAATAGATGCAGGAACACCACTAGCGACTAGCTTCACCAACTTATACCTATTGCAGTTGCAACCCACAAATTACAATCAAGCCAATAGTGGCCCAACAACGCCGAATTGGACAACTGAACAGCTTGATACAGGACAGTACATAAATCATCAACCGTGCTGTGTTGTCAGAAACTACAGACGAACCCGAGAGATCGAACAAGCCCTAGACGCGGGACGGGATGCTTACTTGCAGAGCTTGAGGAAGTTCTTGGTGGTGAGGGGGCACCGGTCGGTGTGGAGATCCACCTCGATGTCGCCCACGCTGGTGACGATGAGCACCGACATCTCCTGAACTTATCCGCCTCTGCCCTCGGCTATCGAACGGCGGCGAAACAGTGCTTGGGGGAGAACGAGGCTAGCGCGAGCGCCGGATGCTTCTGGGGTTTCGTCAAAGACTCAAACCAGGCAGCAACCGTACAAGGTGGCGCGTTGGGTGTCCTGCCCTAGCCGGGATGGAGGAGGCAACCCCACTCGGACCGGCGGACGGGAAGGGAGCGAGGAGGGCGGCGACCGGCGAGTGTGTGGAAGCCGTCGAAGAGAAGAAGGGCGGCGCGGAGCGGGCCACTGCCCACTAGAGCCGCGGCCAGACGGGCTCCCGTGCTCTTGGACCGACTGGACGGCCCAAACCAAAAGCCTTGTTTTTTTATTTAAGGAAAACAAGTCAAATTTACGTGCCTCAGCTATATGGATGGCAATGGGATGTACCGTTAGGTATCGTCGGAACGTTCTCTTCCCCGCTATGGAGAATTTATCCCGTCTCTATCTCTGTTAACTGTCTTGGGTATAGATTCTTGCCCATCCCCGTACCCGTCGGACATCGGTTGGGTAACAGATACTCGACGGGTACTGCATACCCGATAAATAAGGATACTTGGGGTCACAGCTTTGCAATCAGAGACGTTTCTTCTTCACCCGGGTATAAGTGTCAGAGTCTCGGAGATGCCGAGGAGAAGGAGCGAGGTTGCGAGGAGGACGAGCAAAGGTGGCAGAGAGACAGAACTGAGGAAGCGAGGGGCACGAGCGCTCGTGAGGCAGGCGTGCTTGTGCTGCTGGCGAAGATGGTGAGAAAAAATTGAACTAGGGTTCTAGAACACACAGACTATATATATGATTGTTCAGATTTAGGCCAAAATACCTATGTTGAGCTTCTTTGGGCCTAATACTCGCATGGCAGCTCAAATAGTCGGGTTCCCCAACGGGTAACGGGGACGGGTAAACAAGGAACGTTCCCGTACCCGCTATACCCGCCGGGGATGGATTCTTGCCCATTTAGATGCCCGCGGGTAAAGATATGATCCCATCTCCATCCCCTAATGGATCAAATACCCGTCGGGTATCGGGTATCAGGCCCCGTTGCCATCTTTACTTAGCTACCGCGGTCGTTTGATTTTCCTCGTGATCTACAAAACCAGTTTTTCAACCTCCCTCAACTTTTCAAAATCATGCACTTTGGCACCCGGAAGGTTTTGAGGTAGAACAGGACGGCCACCGTGTTCTGCTGCACCTCGACCTTGACGGCCACGTTCACGGCGTCGATGATGAAGCCCAACCCGCCAGCTTCCACCAGCGCCCGCCGCCTGGCCTCCACGTTCACGGCGTTGTTCTGCACAGACGCGTCCGTGGAGGAGAGCAGGTGGAGCTGCCACGGCATGGCATCCACCTCCACGAAGCACGTCCGGTAGAAGATGCTCCACTTTGAGAGCTTGTGGGCCTCGTACGTCATCTTCTTCTACTCCGCTAGGTAGCCTCGCCATTAGGAACGCCGCGGCCATGCCGAACGGCGTGGCAGTCATGTCGACCGCGCACCGGTGGCTAGTGCTTGCTACTGGACTCGTGGAGCAAGACACCCCGGCTGAGGAGCTGCTCGAGATGACCCCACGCGCCACGACGTTCGTCACGAGATCGGCGCTGCAGAGCCTCTCGACGGTGACGGGGCACGTCCAGCACCCGCTCTTGATCCACTTCTTAATGAACGCTCTGTCTGTTGCATACCACCATATGCGCGTCACCTGAACTGAATGTTCAGTTTCAGAATGTTTTTCAGATTAGCACAGTGTTTTCTGTTTTCTGTTTCGTCAGTGTAAGCCGATGGCCACCGTCATCAGCTCCAACACGATCATACATCTGGGCGATGGCCACCGTCATCAGCTCTATCGGGCACTGCAGCGCCTCCTGGTTCACTCCTGCCGCGCACCTTGGCGGGAGCCTGTTCGCCATCGCAGCCTTGCTGGAATCATCAATGCGGTCGAACAAGACGACGCGGCAGTAGAGCAAGAACGCCATGAGCCCACCGATGAGCACGAGCCATGAGGTCGTTGTCGTTGTCCCTACCGGTCTCCAGGCGCTCCAGCAGCTCGGCCTGCAGTAACGCGGCATCCTCGGGGCAGTCCGACCAGGTGGCGACTCCGACACGGGTGAGCACGTGCATTGCCATGGCGACGGAGCTCAGCAACACCTGGACACATGGCTGGATCTACAGCGGATGTGGGACACCAACCCCGCTAGCTCCTTGGCTTTCGCGGACGCTCTGACGATGGGCAGCACGTCCATTGCCGTGGCGACGGAGCTCAGCAGCACCCGGAGACATGGCTGGATCTACAGCGGATGTGGGACAGAGGAAGCTACGGCGAGGGGCGATGGATGCGACGACGGCTGGCTGCGAAGGGGACGGCAGCTCCCAGCGATAGGGTTCAGACCCACAGGTTCTTCTGATCGTCCTCGCATTCGCTCAGGGGGTATTTGCATTAGTTCAATGTGTGTCACGCCCGATTGGGCCTAACTGAGACCCAAACAATGATTAGGTACTCAAACGACCGTTTTGCAACTTTAGGGACCGGGATGACACATCAGCGTAAGTTTAGGGACCGATGTTGTACTTTACTCAAAAAAAACTTCGCCCCACCTTCCTGCCCTCCCCGTACGATCGTCTCCCGCGACTTTGTAGTTTTGTACACCGCGCAATCAATGACAAAGACAAGGAAGGTGGGACGCACAAATAGAAGGAAGGTACGACACCCAATCACCGGCAAAGAGAAGGAAGGTACGACGCCCAATGATTGTGCGTGACTCTATTTCCATCGTGCATGACTCTTCTTTCTCCACGATCGGCCAGTACTGCACTCTGCCACGCCGCGCGTCATGAGACCCCGCCGCCGACCGCAACCAAATCCGCCTCCGCCGACCTCCTGCGCGTCCAAGTACTTGGAGTTCTTCAAGCGCGAGTGCCCGCAGGCCTTCACCTACACACACAACAGCCCCTCGCTCACCCACAAGTGCGCCGCGCCACGCGAGCTCAAGGTCATCTTCTGCCTATCAAGCATCGGAGGGTCGTGCGCCATCGAGAAGTGTCGCCGACGTCCAAGTACTCGGAGCTCGGAGATCGGAGGGACGTGCGCCGTCGCCATCAAGAAGTGTCGCCGATGTGGACCTAGGAACACCCGTCGATCAAGCATCGCAGCCCATCGTGAACGCCGCCCATTCCAGGTGCTGCTGATTGGCCTACTATTCATTAACTGACAATTCAAGTTTGTTTTCTAGATCCATGAACCATTACATGTGCACGTGTGTTTGTGGTAATATGTACAACAACTGATTATATGACAATCCATCAACCAGGTTATGCATATCATTTCATTGCTGTCTCCTCAGGCTTAGGAACTCCAATGCAAATAAGTATTTTATATTTATTATGTACTGCAAAAAATGGATTTGATAAGACACAATAGAAGCCATGCGTTGATCCTGAATTGGCATGAAGCTCATATGTGTGTGGTCTGATGGTCTCTATGTCAGCTGGTCTAATAACAGGGATGCCTAATAAATCTGCACGTAGCTAGGAAGTAATCAAGCTATCATCAGTTAACAACAAAGAAAAGCCCGGCAAGAGAACAAGACTTTCCGTGCCATGTAATATCACACAAGAAGTCCAAGAACACATATCCCAGCAATCGCCTCAACTTAATTATATATGTTAGATTTTTCTGAAGCTTTTGACATGATCTTTGCCCTATGATATTGATTTTTCAATTTCAAGGTTCAACTATTTCTGTTCATCTTGCAGCTGGTTTAATTCCATGATTAATTCAAAAAAACAGGGTTAGGTGAGTACTGCTTGTTTATCTGAATAAAATCCGGCAACAGGTTGAGAACCTGGACCTATCATGCTGATAGTTGTAATTACTGATTCTTGTACCTATATAGGATCAGTTTCGTCTTGTGTTTCAGAGTAACTTTAGTTTCAGGCCTTTGTCTACACTGTTCGCTATCCGATAAAATCAATTTTGCATTTTTTATTTGAAGATATTCCTCTCAGTCTTGCATGTTTCTGTCTACCACAGTTTAGTTTGAAACCTAATATGTTGGTCATCAATCTATAATACTATATATGACTTTGCACAGGATGATCGAAGGATACAAATGGACTTTGTAATCCAGTTATTGGCTTATGTCAAGAATTCTAGGAGAATTTTAACTCATGTAGATTTCATGGTCCGGCAATTGGATCCAGAAGTGGTTCGATGGTCGATTTCATTAGGAAATTCTATCCACAAATTGTTTGATTGTTGGGTTATGTATATGTCGTGACCTTAGACTGTCTAGCGAACCTTGTGCACTGCATAATTCGTTTCTCTTTCTTTTGTATTATGACTCACACTATCTGATCTGTGGTAATTATTCGCTAACTTTTGCTTACTGCTATTCTGATTTTGTTTTCAGGAAAGGATCGTGATCTATCCAAGAAATTTTGGAGGTAAACTATCAATCTATTTTCTTGATTTACATCGAAGTGTAGCGCATCAGCGGAATAAGCACGTGTACACTGAAGGTAGTTCTTTTCCTGTCAGTCAATGTGTTCTGTTGCTGTTTCTTTCAGCACCAAGGACCCTGGGCAGCAGCCATTCAGTTTCAACATTGGTCTGGGTTTAGTGATCAAAGGTAATCATGCCACATATCATCAGTTCATGTAGAGACCTAATAACTTTGCCTGTTAGTTATCTTCACGTGCATACTTAATTTGCGATTTAGCAAGGGTTCCATTACCTGACCATTCTGATTAGTTCAGTCCTGCATGTTATATTTGTCGCTCAAACCTGTACTTTTGATGTTATTTATAAATGGAGCATGAACTTTACTTATCATGATGTTTAATTTCTGGTAGAGCTCCAAATTTGCGTTGTTTGCTTTATATTCTCTTTTAGCCATGGTTGTAAATTGGCAGTCATGTTTTTCTTGATGAATTAACTCAGATGAAGCCTAGAGCATTTTATATTTTTCCAAAAGTGAGCGGTCATTGTTCAGGGCCGGTCCAGTTTCATGTTGCATGCCAAAACTTCACAGGCCTGCAAAATCATGGTCTATTAGCCAAATAAACCATTCCCATTACTGTTGTGCTAATTGTTGGTTTCACTTTTTTCAAAGCTGAGTTCCTTTGTATCTAGGCATAATGTCTGCTTCGTTTTGTGTTGCTTTGTTATGTAGGGAGGACACTAGCGACAAGCACAAGATGAGCCTCTGAGGGCTATCGAGGAAGGTTCTAGGCTGCTCCTGTGTTGTACTCAAGGTGACTATAAGTTTCCTACTGAATTTGGAGTGAGTTGTTTTCCCCTCAATTTCCAACCTAATTGCTTGGTACTTTGTCTAAAGGTAACTATCAGTTTACTACTGAATTTCTTGTGAATTGTTTGTGCTAACTTGGTTTGGCCATCGTCCTCACCGGCCGCCAGCGACCGAGCGCCGAGCCGCCGAGCAGCAGCCGAGAAGCAGGAGGTAGGTCTCATCATCCGTATCGAACTGCTATTAATAATAAGCCAATCAGGCAATCAAGAGTTTCTCTGCTCTGCTATGACCTTAGACTGTCTAGTAAGAGGTATTACTGTATTAGACATTGCTGGCGATCAGTGATACTGTATCTATGGTATACACTACAATTCAAGTTTATTTTCCCTCCTGCCTACTATTCATGGTATGGTAATTGGATCCGGAAGTGGTTCGATTGTCGATTTCATCAGGAAAATCTATCCGCAAATTGTTTGATTGTTGATCAACGCTTAATATTCAGTGTTCCGCCTTTTTTTTTGCTCTACATGCCTGCAGTTTGAGCGAGTAGATTGATTGGCATCTTTGTTGTGCCATAGTTAGAAATCAGTTGGTGTTGTACCTGCACTTTGAGCGAGTAGATTGATTGATCTAATACCCGTGCGTTGGATTTTGAAGTCAAGTGCTGATTCTGTGGTCTTTCTGTGTTTGAGAATTTTTTTTTTGGGTAAAGTCAGCTGAATCTGTGTCATGGCTTATCATCTTGGATTCTGAAGTCAAGTGATTATTTTTCTTTGAAACATCTTTGATTTCAATATTGATTTTCATTATAGCCTTTAAGTGCTAATTGCATTATTCTGGTTTGGCCATTTAATTTTTTCTTTATACAGAAATTAGCTTCTCACGTGATGTGAAACACCTGCTGGAAGTTGCTATCCTTTTCTGATAGCCTTGAAACATGCTTTCTCAATTCGAATTTTGCCAAAGTTATTCAGTGTACTACATGTTGTGAGAGATGTGACAGGTAGTGTTGATGGACACACCAAGGCCGACCGGTGATCGGGTACCTTTGGGGGACCTTACAAATACAACACATGGAGGTATATAAACTTTTACAACATCTTTATATATCTATGTTCATATGTTTGCAACTCCTCACCATAATTGAAGGGAATCATACCCGACCGGGGTTGGTGCGACTAGATGGGGATCCTAATGGGCAGAAGAGGTAGAGGGAGAGAGAGAATGGTATGCAACAATGGCTGACGAAAAGAGTAGTGAAAGAAACAAGAAATGCCGTGAGAGGGATACAACAGATCAAACGGACAAAAATAGTGACCGGCTCCATATGCACTCAACCTACCGTAATGGCGCCAGGCAACTATTAGGTTACTTATTCTGCTAATGAAAGTATTTATTGGTGTGGCGACTGCAATAATCATGGTGACATAGTTTGCTTATTGTAAGGATTAATTTGTTTTGTATGGATTAATAACAATTTATTACGTTTAAAGTTGTAGATGGGAATACAACAAATGAAAGGGATGAAAATAGTGACCAGCTGCATAGGAACTCAACCTACTGTAATGTCTTGCAACAATTATCAGGTGACTTATTTTGTAAATAAAAGTATTGCTTGGTGCGGCAACCGTAAGTGACATAGTTTGGATATGGAATGGTTTAACTTGTATTGTATGGTTATATTTGTAGACGCTCCGGTGCCTTTAAGCACCGTTGGTGGCACCGGTGACGTGGATAACATTGACACTGAGGAAGATAACAATATTGTTTATGAAACGGGTATACTTTTGTATCTATTGTCTGAGATTCTGGTGAATCGTGCCTGTGTTTGTTTATTACAATTGTGCTTAGACACCATCCTAGCGTGTGTTGATTTAA